CGAAACTTCAGCTTACATCAACTCTTTAATCCCTAGAACGTCATCTGAGTGGAACCACCTTCCCGCACCCTTAGTAACTACTCCATCAATAGATTTATTTAGAAAAGCTCTAACTACGCACTTTTGCTAGAATTATGCCGTACTAACATTTATAACCAAGTTGCCTTGTTGTTTGAATTTTATGCAGAACCACTATTTTATGTCCACCAACTCTGTAATGCCCCTTAGCAATGCCTCTTTCAGTCCTTTGATGACAAAGACCTTGTCTTGTGTGCTTGTGCCACGCCGGTCAATTGTGGCTTCGAAGTACCCCGCTGTCGCTATAGGCGTTTGACCTGGGCCAGTCAGTGTCTCCGCTGAGGTCTTCGGGGGTCCCACGGTATTCTTGTTGTAGTCGTTGAGTGATATAGCTGTTACATCTGCACCCGTGTCGACTTTGAACGTAAAAGGCGAGCCGTTGACCTTGACAGTAACTCTCCATGGATCCGAGATTGACCGGGTTTCGACCTCACCGAGGTAAACTTCCTCGACGCCCTTACTGCGCTCCGAGACACGTGTCAGTGTTTCATGCTTGTCCTTTCGTGACAGGCACACTGATGCGTAGTGGCCCTTTTTTCCACAGTGGTTGCACGTCTTGTTTGAAGCCGGGCAATGCACTTTCGTGTGGTCCCGTGCGCCGCCGCACCACCTGCAGTGTCCTGCTTCTGTCTTGTTCTTGTGCTGATAGGATGCTTGGATGGGCGGTTTTCTTGTTTCCTTGCGGCGATTCTTTCTGACCTCGTCGACGGCCGGGGTCGCTTGTTCACCTCCGCGAATCTCTCTCTGTTGCTGCTTGACCACCTCGGAATTGCGCGCCTTCGTGATGGCGGTCTCCAATGCCAGTTCCGAGTCCAGCTGAAGTCTTTCACTCAGCTTAACTTCGATCAGTCCAACGACGAGACGATCTCTGATCGATTCTTCTTTCAGGTTCCCGTATTCGCAGGTTTCGGCCGCCTTTTTAAGATCCGTAACGAAGGCGTCAACAGTTTCGTGTGGCTCTTGCTTACGGCTGTTGAATTTCGCCCGCTCGTATATCACGTTCGTCCTTGGCACGAAGTGCTTTCCAAACGCTCTTGTCACCGCTCCGCAGTCCTGCTTCTCGGCGTCTGTTAGTTTCAGCGAGGCCAAGATGTCCTCGGCCTCCCGGCCCATGGCGTACACCAGTGTGTTCACTTGTGTCTCGCCTTGTTTTTTCAAGCCCGAGATCCCTCGATATCGTTCCCACCTTGTGAACCATCGTTTCCAATCTTCCGGTCGTCGGAAGTCAAGTTTTTCCGGTAACTCGACCACGAACGGGCTGAGAGGCGCTGTTTGCTGGGAAGTTGTCATCTTCGTGCCGGTTGGCGTGGTCCTTTGTCCGAGGACGTGCTTTGGCAACGAGGCCTAACGTTTTTTTCCCGCGCAACTATGTACTTGGACGCTTCGTGCGGCTCGTACGGCCTACCTGGAGCGGTTGCTCGCTGACTTCGTGTTGTGGACGGATCCCACCGCTGCCACCATGTGGTAGCCGTTGTTCGGGTATAACAATAACGGTTTATTGCGGGTTAAAGGCAATACGTGTGGTCAGCGACATACAGCCGTGTCTTCGCATGTTTGCGCCGTTCTCCCGTCCGCTGGCCCCCCGGAGCGAGAGTACTCCGTGCGTAGGCGCGTCGCGGCGCTGCAGTCGGCGGTCGCTCGCAATGCCACTCACGACACTTTCAAATTCATCGCATTAAAAACGGTGCTAAAACGGCTTCGTACGTGTATTTGTGTGCAATGTCGAACACTCTTAGCGCGAACACGACGTCGGCGCTTTTCAGCATGAGGGATATACGCGCCCAACGAACGAAGGACATCTGAAAATTAAGGGAGACGGCAAGAACTACGCAGTAACACTGGATCAGTAACTACCCGTGCATGTACGATCAAAATAAATTGAAGGCCACGCAATATATTCGACTTTAAATAAGTAGTACCGCTTTATTCTTTCTGCTATGAGCGAAGATGTTTGTTCTACGTACAAACAATCACCCGCACGCTCGAAATCTTTGAGAACAAGTGCCCGATAAGAGCTGCCCGGCAGAGAAAACAATACAAGAGACACTTTTCATAGTCCATGTAGTTTATTCTCTACGTTTTGAATTTTTTATCCGCTCAAGCCCGACGGGGTCGTTCTCATATAGTGACAGTACTGGCATATTATCAATATAGAAGCTTCACCGGAAACCTGGCGAGCCTTGAACACACTCTATATTTCTTTCGATTGTAATTTTGCTTTAAATCGTCGCTTGTTTTTACATACCAGCTGCGGAACACACGTTTGGGACTGAAATGTTGCGAAGTTAGACATGGTTCACTGATGAAGAAAAATGCGCTAACTAAAGCAACTACACTTTTACAGTGTTAATCAAGGTACGTACTGTTCGGTACGACTTAAATAACCAACGTGTTGCGTGTTATTTTCCGGCCAAGAGACCAAATGCCCGCGCGTTTTCCCACAGGAATGCACTGGAGCACCGCAAAAGTAGACTGGTTGCTGTCTGCTTCAATTTGCGCCACGGAAGTCGCATAGACACTAGCGCCGGTTGAACCTCTAGCGTACATGATAATAACTCTATGGTGCAATCCCCTCGGCCCAGCACACGCAGGTTCGTCGCTTCGCAAAGGGAGCCCATCACGCGCCATACGCACGAACAATGAAATTGGAACCGGGCAGAAGCCATTTTTGGGAAAGGTTTATAGAAGCAAGCGAGTTCTCAGCCGCTGTTACAAAATGTATTGTGTCGTCGCCAGATCGTCAACTACAGTACTCAAGACCTCTTGAGTGAAGCAGTCCATGCAGCGCGTATTGACAAACGGTGGGAGAGAGAAAAAAGAAAACATGTATCAACGAATGGTGATTCCGAGACACATATAATGAGCCCGCGAAAAAGAAATAAAGTCGCTCACACTGTCAAAGTGTGCGAAGGTATGCGTGTCTTTTGTGGATCTTAGTATCTTGCTCTCGAAGCTTATTTCTTCGACTGGATCTTTGTGTTTGAACATAGTGTATTTGTGCACCACACAGGAAATCTAAGTACGAAGTACGATCAAACGTTTCGAGACTGATTTTGTAGCCTAAAAAGAGAGGACAGCACAGTGAGGCGCGCACGGTAATTGAAGGGAAGGACCTTCGCGTCTCATATTGGCGCCGTGACCGTTTGAAAGCGTCGCAGTGGTCGGCCTTCCACGAATGGCCGAATGCTGATTTTGACGTCAGCAAAGGATTTTCCATCATCGAAGAACCTCGATTTTGACGGTGTCGGCAGTGTTGGTTTCAAAGCGCAATGATTTCCAGCTTCTATCAGGCTAATTACAGACACCGTCGAACTTGTTGTTCACAAGGTAATGACGTCACGAGAGGTAACCATAGGAGGGCGCCACCCAAACATCTCGCCGCTAACATCAAACGCCGTCGTTCTGTGAGCATTTGGAGCTGCGCGTCACGAGTTTTTGCGATCACGTTCACGAGCACAATGGAAGTTTCACCACAGACTGCAAACCAGAGCGAGAGCAAAAATCAATTCTGCGTCAACCTCGGCAAATTTAAAACATAGGCCTTTGAAATTTTGCAACAGGCTTATGTCAAAAAGCAGTGCATTGTGCGGAGTGTTTTGAGTGCCACTCGCGCTTCAAGAATGGCGGGATATCCCTGGAAGATAAAGTGAGGTCGGAGAAGGTCACCCTGCCTCTCTTTGTATTGCTGTGATGTTCTGCCATTCTTGAAGCGCGAGTGCCACTCAAAACACTGGCACAATTCACTGCTTTTCGACATAAGCCTGCTCCAAAAATTTCAAATGTCTCTGTTTTAGAAATCTTTGCCGAGTTTGACGCAGGATTTCCGTTTGCTCTAGCTCTGGTTTGCAGTCTGTGGTAAAATCTCCATTGTGCTCGTGCATGCGATCACAAGAACTCATGTAGCGCAGCTCTATACATGTTCACGAAACGACGCCCTTTGCCATACCGAGACACGAGAGTTCCTGCCTTCGACATCTGCGCGCGCATCACCGTGCTGCCCTCTTTTTTTTTTTTTTTTGTCGGAAAAATCAGTTTCGGAACTTTTTGATGGCTTCTCATATGTGGATATTTATATGCACAAAAACAATAAAAAAATGTTATTATCATATTAGTATAAACACATTCCATAAATTATTAAACTAGTAATATTGTAGTATTAGTAATAATAATGTTTCTTTTGTATTGTGTTCCATGTGTAACGATGTCTAAGACATAAGTGTTAACTTCTAGCTCTACACTTGACAGTTGCACTTTGTGTCAGACGCTTTCGTGTTCCGGCTTTCGATGGCGGCTGGGTTTCACTCACGCAAGCCCATTTCTGCTTTGATTGACCCGATAACGTCCGTTGGGCTGTCTAAAAAACGAACCTATATATATATATATATATACATTTTTTTTATCTTTAGCATTTGGAGATTTTTATTTCTATATAGGCGTCAATCACACAAGCCCTTTGTTGGCTTTGACGTACCCATACACATTTAAGCCGCTTTTCTCCAATGGGTAAATAAACAGATATTATTATTATTACTGTTACTGCTATTATTATTAGTATTATTTATATTAACTTCCGACTGTGTTTTTACTCGGTGTGCAATCGTACGTGTATGCGTGTGTCTGTAGCATGTGCTGTCAATGATTTCGTTGTTGTTCTCTTTTTTTTTTTTGGGGGGGGGGGGGGGGGGGGAGGGTTCTTTGATTATTGTGGCAAGACACAAGGAAGACACCTAAAACAGTGTTTGCAGTCTTTCTTTTGTACGATGTATTGGCAGTGTGACCGCGACTTATGGTTGTTCCCGCGCACCTAATGAAATTGATTTTCGATTCCATCTTGAGCGGCCGATAGCCCCGCCGACACGACCGTCGAAAGTTCGAGCGACGAGTTTTGTCCTCACCTGTGTTCCTTTGTGTCCCTCACGCAGGCTCGGTGCTGAGCGACGAGACCGGGCCCGTGTACGTGGCCCGGGCCGAGGCTCTGACGCAGGCCGTGGTGGCGCAGACGGCCCTGCCCACGGTCACGGTCCGAGGCTTCCTCAACTTCCGCACCACCGTGGACGGCACCGTGATCGTGTTCACGCCGGCCTCGGACGCCGCCAAAGCACCGCCCACGGCGTCGCAGGCGCCCACGCACAAGGCGCCCCAGGCGCAGCAGGTGAGCGCACGACTGAGAGAAAATTCAATCGCGTTGTTGTCCACACAGTACCTGAGCACACCCGTGGAGCACAGACCCACACCCTCCGTATCCTATAGTCACTCGTTGCGAATATTCGAAACTTCGAATAACTCCCGAATAGCGTCTGCCCGATTCGATTCGCAACACGCTTTTAGAGTATTCGAAGTTTTTTCTAATGCACCCCGGACAGCGAAGTCCAGTCACGTCGTCTAGAGAAACATTTCCACGGAATCATCGAACAACATACTTCTCTCCGTAGTCCTTTGATCACTTATTACCAGAGATGCGTGAATATTCGAAACTTCGAATATTCACGCACCCCTTATGTAATGCCCTAACAGGGCGTTTAAGGTGAAATAAATGAAATAAAATTCGTGAATATTGTTTTCTTCTTTTTTTTTTTTTCGCAGTACTTTTACTTTTCGACACATTTGAGATTTTCAAATGCACGCCGGACAGCGAAGTCCAGTGACGTAATCCACGAACACAACAGATTCGCAGAACATCAAACCACATAAACTCGCCGCAGTCCCCGTGATCACCTAATAGTAGGGGTATCTGAATACTCGAAACTGCTAAGAATTTGCGACTAATGTCTGATATTCGATAGGCAGCATCGTTTTACTGACGAAATTAATCCCTGGAGAAGGGGAACAAGAGGGACAAAGGACAAACATAAATCTCCAAACACAGCTAGGTGACTGGTGAGCGACCGAAAAAATCCGCCTGGTCCGGGTATCGAACCCGGGACCTCTCCATTACAAGTTTTTTTTCTTTTTTTTTTTTATTTAGGGGATACTACAAGCCATTGAAGGCCCAAGTAGGTGTGGGATACAACATATACATGCACACATACAACGAAAGCAAATAACACGGCATTAAAAGGTTTACAACTAACTAGCAAATATACAGGATATATTATTTTAAAAAAAGGGGAGGGGGGGGGGGGGAGAAGCAAGCATCAAGCAGTATGTAATTCCATCATGCACTAATACAAAATGACCTATCCAGATGTAGTATGAAGGTTTATACAATGCTAATGTCTATGCGAAAAAGATGAAGGTGCAGCAATGTACAAAGCAAAACATGCTAGTTATCAAGACGCTCGAGACCTTCTACAAAGTTGGTGTCGATAAATAGTTCGAGAGGTAAACCGTTCCAGTCGCTAATAGTGCGAGGGAAAAAGCTAAACTTAAATAGAGCAAACGGGTTTTATCAGCTGCCACCAGTCTAACAACAACAAGGGTGAAGCTTGCAAATTTAAAGTTATAATTATAACGCAATTAAACGCAAAGGTGCAAGCGAGCTGGACAAGAGTGACGAAATTAATCCCTGGAGAAGGGGAACAAGAGGGACAAAGGACAAACATTAATCTCCAAACACAGCTAGGTGACTGGTGAGCGACCGAAAAAATCCGCCTGGTCCGGGCTCTACTGACGTCTAACCCCTGGTTAGCTCAGTTGGTAGAGCGCTCCACCTGTAATCGAGAGCTCCCGGGTTCGATACCCGGACCAGGCGGATTTTTTCGGTCGCTCACCAGTCACCTAGCTGTGTTTGGAGATTAATGTTTGTCCTTTGTCCCTCTTGTTCCCATTCTCCAAGGATTAATTTCGTCACTCTTGTCCAGCTCGCTTGCACCTTTGCATTTAATTGCCTTATAATTATATCGTTTAACTGTTTGAAGTATTCCAGGTTTACAAATATTCGAAAATTTCTAATATCTTCAGAATTCTCAGATTCTTCGCGTTAAGCTTCGCCGCCTCGCGCCAGCGCGCACGCGTCAAGCTTCACCACTTGGCTCCGACGTGTTAGGAGAAACGGCTTACGTGTCGGCAAATCTGGGTTGGATCGATGGTATCGGAAATTTTGCTCGCTATTCTAGTCCAGCCCACCATAGCACTCCAGCCGCGACAGACGCTCCCCTTCCCTTGCGAGGCATTGTGAAGACTACGGTGCATCCAGCGAGCGCCTCGACCCGTGCATGAGCGACAGAGAGAAGAACGGCACATGTACCTCTCTCCAGCGACCCGCGCGATAAGGAGAAAAGGACAGCACGTGCACCTCATGCATTTTGGTGTGACAACCGGAAGTTTGCAGAGGGGCGGGGGACTGAAAAAAAAAATGCTACCGCATATAAAATGTGTTGCGTATATTTAGACAGTCGGTAGTTAGAAGCCCCAATAGGCGTGTGTCTCCGCTGTAGAAGTTTAACCATTACAGTATTACCGATAGCCTGGAGTCTTAAAAGTACACTATGCAGTAGTGATACACGATCGCACGTCGGTACGATATCCATCCAGATCAAAACAGGGCAAGGGTGGAAACCGCCATTTAAAAGAGTAACAACCAAACAAGAGGTCCTTAACACGTGGCGCACCCGTTTTGCCTCTCCTTTCCCACGCAGACGACCAACGTTTTAGGGTTCGAGATCGTGGGCGGCGCCAATGAGGTCCTTCCGCCGCCGTCTACCACGACGCCTCCGCCGGCACTGCCTAGCCGGACGTCGACAAGGGCACCCGTCAGAACGACTACGAGTAGCAGTAGGGCCACCAGTAGCAGGGCCGCCGCCACGGCCAGAAGCAGCGCCGCCAGCAGCACCTCCAGTCGACCCCAGTACCCGACGGGACTGGTCACCGTACTCGGAGGAACACACGTCAATGGGTACGTTGGAGGACCACGGGAGGGGTGGCTCGGACGCACCGCCGCGTTGCTGAGATGATCATCAAGACGCGACGCCCTCAATCTTACCAGTGCCATGGCATTGGTAAGATGGAGGATATAGGTATCTAATCTGCACTCTGCAAAGTGCAGAGTGTCAGATGCTTACGTGCGGTGGTCAAGATGTGGTTCCATTTAGGATGTACCACAGTGAAGACTAGAAGCCCAATTTCATTTGGGTGGTAGTTACTCCTGCTGCACGAGGTTCGTGCACCGGAGGTGGTTCTTAGAGCAAGGAGCTCGAGCCTATGGCTTTCGGTGTGGTACATCTCAAGGTGAAACAGAGCATATGCCTATACTAGACGAGTTCTGAATACTGAAGCATTGGCACAAGCAGTTCTTCCATGTGTGTGCTGGTCTTCAGAGAAAGGTGGAAAACCAAGAAAAGTGTTGGCCACCGCTCGGGGAAGAAAGTTGTTTGTCTGTTTACTCTGGAATGACGACAAAGCAGAGCACCAGGAGAGCTGTGGGCCTTCAGTTGTGTACAGAATGACTTGGCTGGCGCGGGGCTAACTACTCCGCTTCTCGGGCATTTTGTTTTTAGAGCGCAGCTCTTAGGCGCCCGTTCCCGGCTTGAGCGGCGTCGCCGTCGGCGTAACCGCGCGGTGCATTATGGGTAAATTTCCCCGCTAAATCTAGCAGAAAAATTTCCCCGCTAAATCTAGCGGAAACATTTCCCCGCTAAATCTAGCGGAAAAACTTCCCCGCGAAATCTAGCGGAAAAAATTTCCCCGCTGAATCTAGCGGAAAAACTTCCTCGCTAAATCTAGCGGAAAAATTTCCCCGCTAAATTTAGCGGAAAAATTTCCCCGCTAAGTCTAGCGAAAAAAATTTCCCCGCTTAATCTAGCGGAAAAATTTCCCCGCTAAATCTAGCGAAAAAATTTCCCTGCTAAATCTAGCGGGGAAATTTTGGTCACGTGACCTGGGGGTCACGTGACCCCTCCCCCAAGGTTACGTGACACCCCCAGGTCACGTGACCTCGGGGGGGGGGGGGACGTGACTCCGCCCTCCACGTGGACCCCCCTCCCCCTCGGTCACGTGACCCCAACGAGGTCACGTGCCCTCGGGGGGGGGGGGGGGGTCACGTCACCCTTTCCCCTATGTCACGTGACCCCCCCCCCCTTTTTAACGGTTAAAAAACAATTACATAATCAATTATGAAGTTCCTGTCGTAGAGTCAAGTATGAGGATTGTTTCACCGATTCTCTTCTCAAGAGGCAAGGACCGTACCTTGGGGGCAACTTTCTGCGTCACTCCACAAGTGAAGCGTGCAGCTTTCATCGACACCCAAGGTGCGCGAGCTGTAGAGTTACTCCAGCTGGAAACGAAGGTGCACATACACACTTCATTTAGGAGGGCAGGTTTTTGTCGGTAACCGAGGCAATCGAACCACCATTCATAAATCTTGCTTTCCCGAGTGGATCGACAAATAATGTGCAGCGTCCTAATGAAGCGAACTGGTACTTGAAATAGGCCACACAAAAACCAGGCACTCCAAGAACTCTGGAGCGTCTGCTTTCCAGCAAAGCACTCGGGAGTGGCAATCGCTGCAATCTAATAAGGAGGCATCTAGGCGAACGACGAGACTGAACGTATATGTTTTTAACTAAAAGACAGTGTGCGAGCTGCGCACATTGTCTAAAATACATAGGCATGGCGTTTCACCATGCGCCGTGTCATGACGCAGATTTCTTTCTCTTAGGTTTAAACATATGTTCAGTTTTGTAGCTGCACTTGTAGATGGCTGCAATTGGCTCTCTCAAGTGCTTTGCGGGAAGCAGACGACCTACAGTGCTAGGGTGATAAGGAGCGATTATGTTCAGAACGTTGCAAACTGAGCTGGCCAACTCTTCTTGTTTTCCCGCGCAGGGGAGCGACGACCATCCACGAGACGAAGGTGATCGGCACCTACATCGACGGCAAATACGCGCAGATCCTGCAGAGCACGTCGCGCATCATGCACGCCTCGTCGTCGACAGAACGGCCGACCCAGGTACGGCCCACGCCGGCGTTCAAGGCGCCGGAGCCCACACCGGCGGCCAGCCTGCCCGTCGAGAACAGCCGCAAGCCCGAGCTGTCACCCAGCCCGAGGCAGCAGCAGGTCATCAGGGACAACACGGCACAGGTATGCGAGCGCAGCTGTTCTTCCAGTCACTGTTCCAGCATGCCTATTAGGGTCACATGACACGAGAGAAGTGAAGAAGGCCATCTCGAGATATATGATGGTTTGATGAGCAAACTCTACACGGCCTGATCAGTCGTTTGAAGAGCCCGTGCGAGGGATCTTCAGATATTCCGATAGGAAACACAAACTGTAGATACTTGTATGTGGCCACTTAACCACTTAACTCTCGACCAATTTGGACAGAACTAACGTTTTCGTGGACCGTGTCAATGTACGCTTTTCCCCAAGGCTCCACGAAAAAAAAGTTATTTTCTTCGTGAAAAATCGCAAACGGCACGATGCTTCTGCAACAATTCTTGAGGGTAATGTCAGACCAAGACCATCTCAAATGGTTCTCTTTAAAACGTTAAATTTCTCTCGCAAATCTTTATTTAAAAATATCACCGGTCATGAACAATCTGATAAATGACACACTCATACAGGAACTTTAATAAATATATTCTCTGTTCCTGGTTCAATATTATTTGGAGTACCACAAGCGAGCTCGGGAAACCTAAGCAGGCGCAACTAACAAAAAACGTTCCGCCAGAAAAATAAATAAGTAAAAAAAAAAAAAAGTGAAAGCCGTTTACAACTCCCTGTAACGCCGAATTAGAGCGCAGCTTTTGAGGAGGAGGAGGGAAGGGTACTGGCGGGGGTCACGTGACCTAGGGGGTCACGTGACGATGACGATGCCGATTACGTCATCAGTAACGATGACGATGCGGACACTGATGACGTCATCAGTGACGTCACTGATGACGTCATCAGTGATGATGACAATGACGATGCGTATGCCGGTGGCGTCATCAGTGACGTCACTGATGACGTCATCAGCGATGATGACGATGACGATGCGGATGCCGGTGACATCATCAGTGATGATGACGATGACGATGCGGATGCCGGTGACGTCACTGATGACGTCATCAGTGATGATGACAATGACGATGCGGATGCCGGTGAGGTCATCAGTGATGATGACGATGACGATGCCGGTGACGTCATCGGGGGTCACGTGACCCCGGGGGTCACGTGACTCGGGAAGCCACGTGACTTTGGGTGTCACGTGACCTTAGGTGTCACGTGACCCTTGGGGAGGGGTCACGTGACCTTGGGGTGACCTTGGGGTCACGTGACCTTGGGGTCACGTGACCTTGGGGTCACGTGACCTTGGGATGACCTTGGTTACGCCGACGGCGACGGCGACGCCGCTCAAGCCGGGAACGGGCCCCTAAGAGCTGCGCTCTAAAAAGACGCGTTGGTTTGAAAGCGTAAAACGCCACCAGTTGATGTAATTCCGGGATCAGCATTTTTCCACATTCGTGCACGGAGATAAGAGGCCGAGAAGCGTACGGCTAGGGCAGAAAAAACGTTGATGTACATCAGTATTCGCATAGTGATTTTTCTTCTGAATGCGGTAAGTAGAGCCTTACATATCCGCGGAATACCCGCGGATCATCCACGGATATCCGTAAACTGGCGGATGCGGATCAAAATGAATCAGATTTGGCGGATTGCGGATCGGATCGGATGCGGATCCCAGGGGTCTGCGGATGCTGATTATATGTGGATATCTGCGGGTCCAGATCTACATTTTTGCCTTGGCGGCCCCTAAACCTGTGCGACCGTACAGTGTAGAAAGTGAGTGGCTCCTATGATGTGCATAATCGAGTGTATTGAGGGAACAAACCACTCTCTTAGATAAAAGGTGCCAAGTGGTGAGAAATTTGTTTTTTACGCATCAAGAAAGATTTGATTCTCGCCAAAGATCGATTTAGAAACTTCATCCTCGCCAAAAATGATGTCCCTAGAAAAAGTAAAGAATGCAGGAGCATCAGTCGTCCCGAGAAAGCGTGTTCTTGTTTGGCATGGAAAGAGCGGAAAACGTTCTTTGGACAATGAAAACCCAAAACGTACAAGCCACAAGAAAGCAGAAGCCTGCAAGTGGCTTCTTCTCTTACAAGTAGATCGAGGAGACTGAATTCGATCCTCTGCAGTGGTGGAACTTGCGCCAGCACGAGTTTCCGCACCTCATTCTTGTAGCGCAGTTCGTGCATGCCATCCCAACATCAAGTGCATCAACGAAGCGAGAGTTCCCATTAGCGGGTATTAATTTGGCGAATCAGCCTAACTCCGTTCATACTGACGAACTATAATGTTTCTTCTAACAGCAACCCCGACAAGTGAATTGTTGCGTATTTGTGCGTTTTCTTTTTCTCGACAGTTGGCAGTGAGTTGTTTTTAAGTATACTATTCTGAGCATGCAGTTGAGTGTTCGTGTTTCAAACTGAAACCGATAGGTGTTGCCATTATTGAATATTATATCTTCCCAGTGGTCTACTAGCGCCTTACCACATATTAAAGCGCACATTGCTTAAGGAAGAGGGGTTCTTTCCAGCTTTTTTTTATTGTTTGGCATAAATAAAATGACACAATGGTATTAGTCTGTCATTTGTTAATGTTCACGTTTATAAAACAGCTGTCCGCTTGAGGTGGTTTTTAGAAAGCAAAAAAGGTACATATTGAAATGTTATTTCTTTTGAGTGCATCTCTTGGACAGAGTGCCGGTGACGCGGATTCCCAAGACGATCTCATAACTGCGATTACCTTTCCAGCGATGCGAAGTGTCTCTAGAAGGATGATCGCTTATTTTATGAATACGATAAAACAGAATACGATAAAATGACTCTCACCCTATACCGACACAAAGAGTTCGTTGTATGAAGGTAAGCCAGCAGGCTTATAGGATACCATCCAGATGCATTTTAATGTTTATTTATGCTTGATTTTTTTATGTAAAGTGATTGCACGGATTGAGGGTGGAATACAGTTCCGAACTTTGCGGATGCGGTTCGGGTGCGGATACAAAAACTGCGGTTCGGATGCGAGTACAATTATTTAAGAACACTGCATCTGCCCTTTCTTTTGAGTGCGGGTATCAGATGCGGATACGGAGTCTGTGGATGCGGATAGGATGATCAAACTGTAATCCGCGCAGGGCTCCAGCGGTAAGCGTCACACCCTCCCACTGCAGGCCTCCAAGGAAGAGAGGATCCACCATCGGCCTCGGAAGTACGGCGTTACCAGCAGCAGCACCGCCTCGAGTACCACGACTGCGTCGCCGTCATCGACGGTGCTTCGGTCCTCCTTCCGCAGTCCGGAGGTGTCTTCGAGCAGGCTGTTTCCCCGACGGACGCAGTCATTGCCGGGCTTCAAGACGTCCCGGTTTCGGGGACCGCAGTCCTCCGAGAGTCACTCGGACAGCCTGGACGAGAACACCATCGTGGTGACTCGGAGCAGGCTCAACCACCGCAGCGGGTCGGCGCCTCCGGGCATCGGAGGCACGCGCCTGAGATACGTACCGGCCAGGAACACACACACGGTACACCGTCATCTCTCACTGATCCAAACTCGGGGGTTTATGACGGTTATAGCTCTTATTTGCGATGGTATTACAAGAGCCATACTGAAGCAAGGTGTGTAGTTGGGCAATTGAGTGTGTGATGTACTTGTCTCGTGTCCTTTTTCGCGTTGTTTTATTTATTCTGGCCGTAGTGAGCATGGTGTGTATCTGTTCTTATTTCCCGACTAAGGTAAACATACGTGCGCGACCGCCGCCGACGACACAATGTTTACGTTCGTGTTTATATCCAGACTAAATCTCACTCAATGCGAAGATTCGGACGTGCTATCTCACAAGAGGTGCGCTATACGCAGCAACATCGAATCTTACTGTTCAAGAATTGGTACATAGTTTTGTTTCTTCTTATTTATAGTCGTGCCTAATACAGGACGATCGGTGGCCGACGCACACCAGCTCGGAGCACGTGGAGCAAAAGCTGTCGCTGCAGAACCCAGGGATCCTGGATACAACCACCCTTGCCTGTCTCGATTCAATGAGCGTCGTATACTGGCGCGGAGTCGTGTATCACTACTGCGTTATGCACGTTAAAGACCCCAGGCAAGCGGTCGTGCTGCACTGGCTAGATTTCTCATCTACAGCTGGCATACCAGACACCCACTGACACTGACAAACTTCCGGCTGTCTCATTATTCACACGACACAATTACTATTTGGCAAATACAGGCGATAAGACGTCGTTCGAGCGCGATGCTATAGACAGCTCAAAAAACGAGCATTTAATCTCCTTTTCTTTTTTTTTTTCTTTTTCTTTTTACGGTTTTACATTTTGATTTTTAGGTCGCGCCAGTTTTTCTCTACATACTCAGATGCGCGGTAGCTCCACGCTTCTCTTACACGCCTTTTCTGCTCGGTGGTGTCGCCTTCACCAGAGTTGCAAATAACGGGGACCCACTCAGTGTCTTTCAGACTCGGTGGGTGTCGTTCAGCTTCTCGATAAAATAAAGCGGACCGACGAGCATAGACTGCAAACAACCGTCCCACGTTGGGTTTCCAAACGACCTAGTGCTGTTTCTTCCGTCTCCGACGTCTTGCAGGTGCGGCTGAACCGATTCAAGGTGCGGCTCACTGCGAGGCCCGACCAGCCCCACGAATCCGAAGAACCTTCGTCACACCCGGCGGCAGCGGCGATCACAACGGACATGGCGAGTCCTAGCGCACACCCGGGAGACGAAGACGTCGACCCCCTGGTCTCCATAGACCCCGCCCGGGTCCGCTACGAACAGACCACAGTCACCAGTCTTGTCACCCTCCACGTCGGTCAGGGCAAGTCCGTGGTCCGCACCCTCACGCTCACTACCTCAGTCGCGCGTACTCTGGAGCCCTCGGAGCTCTTCTCCAACGGCATCCTGGAAGGCTCAGAGTCCCTGAATGCCATCACGGCCACTGCCGAAGCCTCGGAGCAGCAGACGCCGCCGCTGGTCGTCTCCCGGGTCTACTCCACCACGGAGCACTCGTGGAGGACGTCTCTGGTGCCAATCTTCGACGGCCTGGCCACCACAACTCACACGCTCACCGAGAGCTTCATCATCCGCAAGATCGTCACGGCGTACCGGACCATGCCGCCCGGAGACCTGCTGGGGCTGGACGAGCGCAATGTCACGCTGGACCTCGACTCGGAGCAGTACTTTCAGACGCTGCTCCAGGTGAGATGCCCGGTCAGTGGATCCCAGACACTCGCGTCTCGAATATACATGAATTGCACTGACGTCGCATCAGCTGCCATTGCGGTGGCCTTGCTCTTGAGCGCGCGGCTTCCGCAGCATGTATTTCGCACCACCCGATTTGTTTTTCTGAGAAAGTAGAAATGCCCACCAGAATGATGCCAGGACGTCACGTGCAAGCCATGTATAGACCTTTCCAAAAAGAGCTTTCTGGCCGCCGCCATTTGGCGAATCGAGCGACCTCTATCAGCCAGAAATTTCTGGCACCCGCCCGAGCTGTCGAAACCCGGTCAGCGTGACTCCCCACCTGCATTTCGCATTCGGAGTTCGCCGGCTTTTCTTGGAAGATTTTACTTTATTTGCCTGTTTAGGATGCTTACCCTTTGTGTGTTATCTTCCACTGTGAGAACCAGGGAATACCATAGCTCGTAGCCTACTCGGCCTTCGCAGGAAACGAACGAAGAGAGCAAACGTCAAGCAGCCCGTGATGCAAGCAGTTCGACGTTCTTGGAGGATTATTTATGTTGGGATAATCTCCAAAAAGCCTTCCCGGCTATGTTCCGGGTCTTCGCGAAAAATAGCAGATAGGGTCGGGTCCGGGTTGTGGCGACGGAATAGACACGTTCGTACAGTTGCTTTGAAGCTGTGCGAAAAAGCAGCTCGATCTCTTCTAGATGTTCCTCAAAACACACCAGATTTCGTCCGATTGTCGTGAAGTGACTATCGGCGATTGTCGACACTGTATAGTGGACATGCTGTGTTATTTGAGACCTTTCTCAAGTCCTGTTTGGATAACGCGGCACAGTGGGGTACCTACAATATATCTATATGTGGTTCGATTGATGATACTCGTTGAATTTTATGTTGTGGGCGGGGGATATCCATGCGGTTCGGATATCCTGTGTGGTCAAATATTTTTGGCGGCTAAAACCTTTGTAAATTGACACAGCTGAGTGTACGGTGCCGTAAAAAGATCAACATAAAAGGAAACAAATTTTCAAGTTGCATTTGTTCTGTCGCGCACGGACTCACCAAAACAGCTTTCATTTCTTCGTTTTTGTTCCCAAAAAATAGTACAATGCATTCCTAAAAACCCAGAGAAATTCTATTTGCCATAGAACACGAAATAAAAAAAATAGAACGCAAAATTTAGCCTCCACCAGCGCCCGGAAATGCGCCTACGCAGGCTGCCACAGCCCACTGACTAGAAAATCCACAGCTCAGCGCAGTCGGGCAACACTGACGTACTCTTAAAACCAGGGACGCGCGCTGTAAATCGCTTCGTTCAAGACTGCCGCTGGAAAGGTCTATAGACCACACGTGGCTCTGACGTCACGTTGCTGCGGTGGCGCTGCAGTTGACATGGCGCATGCGCAGATGCTTTATTTGACGAAAATGTGGTTTCTGCGCACGCGCAGTGCTCACACCTCGTGTGAGCAAACGCGGGCATGTTCGTAAACAGCATGCGCACGCTTGTGCGTTGCGCACAAACGAGCGCGTGCGTAATCCAACGAATTCCGCCTGTACAGTCTCCGTTTCTTCCCTGCATAGCATCGGGGTGTAGAGGTAAAGCGTTCTCCTGGGCGCGCGTGCACATTTGCGAAGAGAAAGCTGAGACCGTTTTCGCGCGAGCAATGCCATTTCTAGTCGCGATAAGGAGATAAGAGTTATACGACGAGCGAGTTCGTCTGTTCCATGATCAGACCATAGCCGTGTAAAAGCTTAGCCAAAGGAAGCCAAGGGAAGAGAAGAGGACGGATGGGGGATACGTACTGAAACTGTCAATGCGTCTATTTCAGGGCGGCGCACCTCCCGCCCCGACGCCACTCCAGCAACTCCAGTCGCCGTCGTCTCCCGAGGCCTCCTACCTGGCCCTACCATCCGACGGCAACCGGCCCGTCCAGCTGGCCAACCCGCTGCTCAACAACCCACTGGCCGCGGTCTACCTCGGACTTCAGCAGCTCAACCAGCAAGTCACCCTCTACTCCACTGTCACCCAGAGCAGCGTCTACACAACCACCGAAACCGTGTATCACACAAAGGTCGTCAGCTTCTACGACGGACGCCGCACCCGCTCCCGCACGCTGTCAGAGTCGCTGTCCACCACCGAGAAGACGCTGACGAGCTTTTCGACGGCCGTCGTGCCGTACATCAACACGCAGGCCCTCCAGCTTCAGCAGCTCCAGCAGCAGCAGCTTCAGCGGCTGATCGCGACGCAGCTGCCGCAGCTCACCAAGCCCACGCCCCAGTTTTCCACGGTGACGTCCACCTACACCACCGTCACCACGGCCACAAGCTACAGTTCCAAGATCTACACGCTCATCTACAACGCGTTCAGCACCCGGTTCCGCACGGTGACCAGCTCGAGTGCGTACAAGACCACACTGACCGTCACGTCCACCTCCTCCTACCAGATCCAACCGACTACCGCGGCACCTCTGCTACCGCAGTTGGCACCCCTAGGACAGCTGCTGGCGGCACCCTAGCCCACGTGTCGTTCGCGTGCGCTCACGTGGTACCCGTCTTCGGAAACAAAAGGAAACGAAATCAACAGAGAGGTGATCGCGGCGAGCGGTGGGCCATCTTTCCCGTCGGCGATTGCGCTGGGACAACGAGCCGGCGAGAAGGTGCCAACGATCATCGGCACACAGCGAGTTCGGTCAACGGTCCGGAGGCCCTCTTGCAGCCCCCATGAACAAGATACTCCTTCGAAACTTACGGTACGGCTCCAGAGGATTGCTCAAACCAACCCCGCAACATCTGAGTGCACCATCTTCGACCGAACAGGTTCCTTCGGGTTCAGGAACCGGGGTGTCCTCGAGAGCCGCAGCGCGTGCACGTGAAGGACTCCCAAGATTGGCGCCCATGCCCGCGTGCTGCGTGCCACGTCGCTGGTGTCAGACAACGGGCGTTGTGATACTGTCTGAGTGGTTCCCTCCCCCCCTCCCTCCCCTCCTCCTCCACCAACCATGCGCGCAACGTTTTTTTGGCTGGGACAGTGTGCTTATTTATTAGACGAGCGTGACATATGCGTGGCAACGCGAGCAGGTTGCCCCGCTCTGCAGGGAAAACTGGAAGCCCTCCGTCTTTTGTTCATACTTCCCGTTTTTGTTGCCAATTACTGTACCGACAATTGTTAATGTAAAAAAGAATAAAATATACTTTTTTTTCCCCAAAGATACTTCTCTCACTTGTTGTAGAGGTCTGTGCGGGTCCTGGTGACCTTTCCAGTTATAAATCTGCCAAGTACCGCCTCCTCTCAAAACCGACATGAGCTAGGACACGACTACACAAATTAAATATAACTTGGAAATCGATTGTAAGTACACACATAGTCTTAATATCACTATCACCTGCAATAAAATATTGAAGATTTCATTCCCGCCAATTACTTGAAGTATAAATTGATGAGAATACTAAGAGAGGCACCTAGCTCACACAATCAACAAATTTATTTTTCAAGTTACTGTCAACATCTAGCTGATTTTCTATCTTGTATGTTAAGATCATTCGAGTCAACAAGCCATGAAAACTCTTACAATAGGCCACCTGCACTGCCCAGGGGGTGCTGCAAAAAGGAACTTGTGAGGACTTGCTTCGGGTAGAACAAACTTGAGCATCTCAAAGCTTGAGCATCTCAAACTGCCACAGATGTGGAAGCGTGCATGGTGTGGAATGCGAGATCATGAGGAAATGACAAAGAAACAACAAAAATTTGAATGCCGTCAAAGCACAGGTCAAAGCTAAGATGCTAAAGGCATGCTCACACTGGCAACTAAGCAACAGTTGCGAGAGTGACTAGCGACGTGCGATGAGCGACTACCGAGTCCCAACGGTCACACTGCTGGCGATCGGAGAGTCACTATCGGCGAGTCGCTTCTTCGAAGCTTAGGGAGCCGCCGCCGATTCAGTGCACACTGCCACCAACCTGGGTTCGCATTTCGCTTCCATTTTCGTTGCATCATAGCTACACATGCGTCGTCATTGCCATATAAAAAAGACTCGTAATATGTTGACGTGAGTCCTACGAAACCTTACAAAGAAGCACAATCGCTACATCGGCATGCACTCGCACGAGCTACCGCGTTGCAGCACATGCCTGTCGAAAAGTGGCACGGTCTTGCTGCAAGACCGAGTTCTTTTTCGGGAACTCGTACAAATCGGGGTGCTGCATTTATAAAGCACTCGGTACTCTTTAATACCACTGACCAGAGCCGCGCCACAGATTTCTGTGGTTCTGCACCGAGGCCACCGAGGCTTTGAACGGACATGGTGGTACTACTCTCACAGAAGTACGATGTGCCAAATGTAAACAAACGAGAGGCGCACTCACGCCACTTCCAAGGCACTGCTGATTTGTTCAGTTGCCTAGCAACTCGGCAACAAGTCGCAAAATTTGGTCTGGAAGCAACTGCTCCAAACCTGTCGCTTCGCGACTTGCGACAAAAGCTGTCACGTGACAGCTGAGACTTGCTGGTGTGTTCACACCCTAACAGCGTGAGCCAAGAGACACTGTTTCACGTGTTCCAAAGAAGAAAAAAAAAGTGTTGGGATGCCAGATGTTTTTACCTCACCAAGCAAACGTGGTGGCATGAATCTCGCACTTTCGATTGTCTTGCAACGTTAAATCTAGTCGATTTTGGACATTGAAAGGTGTCTTTCTGTTCTTCAGCAGTATACAGAAATACAAAAGCTCAGTGAAGTAGCCATTAGAAGTGCGAGGCCCAGTCAGGTGAGCTTGTACCACCCCAGCGCAGTAGGCCTATAGAAGCTCTAAGAAGATCAGCTAATGCTTTGAATCTATGCAATTCTGTATGCTATTTGAGGACTGTCCTAATTCCTTACAACACAGTCAACCAGGAAGTGGCAAAATGCACCAGTGGCAAGGGATACAGAAATGTTCAAAGTAACATTTACGCCGCTCGACCCGCCAGGAACTGAAAAGTTTGGATAGACATCACTTTATTTAATCAGGCAGATGTCGTATGCAGGATAAAATAGCAGTAAGAGAAAGATCTAAACTGCCCTAACTCCATAAATACAGAACCAGCATCTCTGTGGGTCTTTGTACTCAATCACATAACAGCACCCTGAAGCACTTCACTGTATACTTACAATAAATCTCTAAATTATGCGTACCTCATTCGTAGTAGTTTTCTCATGCAGAGGCTGGTCCATGTAAGACAATGCTTTGCCCGGGGAACCTGTGGGGTCAAGGCACCACTTTTACAACCCGATGAAGTGGTTCCTTGAGCCCTTTCCTAGAAAGGCCGAGCCGAATGCTGCTTGTGCCAGTGCCAACCCTGTTGCCAGAACTCGTGGGCACACTCCTCGGAACGTTTTTGTGGATACTTGCTGCAGGGAGCGACGGGGAGTGGCGCCTGCCCTCCGTCGCAGCAATCGTGGCCAGTGTTGGCTGCGGCTTGCAAGCAGCTGGTGTTGGAAGTGGCTTGTTAGTGGCTGATGTTGGCTGCAACTTGCAAGCAGCTGGTGTTGGAAGCGGCTTGCAAGCCCCTGGCGTTGAAAGTGGCTTGAAAGTGGCTGGTGCGGAAGGCGGATTGACGGCGGCTTCTGCTGGATTGGGCTTGATGGTGGCTCGTGTGGGATGCTGCTTCAAAGTCGCTGGGCTTGAGGCGGTTTTGACGTCGGGCACTGAGCGGGCAGGTCGGCTTGGCGTATTTCTCCCTGCTGTGGTGGCACCTGCATTTCAGAAATAAACGGAACTTGCTTGCTGACGGCTGTTATGTGGGGAAGAACAAAGATGCATGGAAACCATAGTAAAAGAGCCCATCATGAGGGGAAAATTGGGCAATATTTAAAAGCTGCTAGCAGTCAAACAATTATGACTGGGGAGTTCGGTATAATTGGAAAATCATATGGCACCTCACCGCGTAGTGTTGGTGATGCTGAAAAATCTTCTGGAGTCTCTCGACAAGGTAATTCAACGAGGCAATGTCATTTTAACGTATACTGAAGGTTGCAAGTCTGAATGTGGCATGAGCCCTGCTAACTGCTTAGGATTCTGCAGCATAGATCAGTAACGAATGTCACTGAATTGCTGCAACTAAGCTGCCTCTCTCTCAAAGAGGTTAACTCCTTAACCGTTTTGGATGAGCCTAGCTTGTCAATGTGGAGACATCCCCAAATCATTCAGGATGGGTATAGCTCGTCTGCTTTCCTTGGTTCATGCACTCAATCATTTTGGATGAACCAGGCTCGCTCATGATTCAGTTTGCAACTGTGCCAACAAATGGCAGCACTGATTTTGTTATCATTTTGCTCCCATCCTGTTTGTGGCTATAAATTTGATTTTGAAGGCAACAAAGGTAATTTTTAAAATAATTAAGCAGTCGAGGGTCGGAAACTCCCCAAAACTTAAAAACGGTGAAAAGGATGAATGTATTGAATTGTTAATTTTGAGTAGATAAAGATTATCTAAACTCTTGCAAGTGCTTTCTCACAACAGGCCAAGACTTGTGGATGCTACTATACACGTCTTCACGTGCATCATCTGTTGAAAAGTGGTGCAAGCTTGCAGCCATAACACTCATTCAAAGTTCCGAATACTGCGCTTCCTCTTAATTTCATACATCTGTTACTACAAACGGTTTTCAAAGTTCCGCACACCGACCTCTATGATGATTTGCCAAATCGCGAATCCCAGCTTTGAGCCCATTGCGCTGCGCGATTGCGGCCACCAGTCAGCCATCTTACGTCATCCGCTGAAGCATTGTCAAGGCTGTCATCACATGACCTTTGAGTCTGTTGTCAGGTGACCTACAGATGGCAACCATGGTCAGTGGCTTAGCCAGGAAAGGAGGGGGGGCAACCTTTGGTCAAAACACCCCCCGAAATTTCATGGTTTTCCACTTTCCCCCTTTCCACTGTCATTTTTTTTTTTTTTTTTTCTTTTCGTGCTTTGTGGTTTTGTCACAGCATTAAAAATCCTACGTGTTTCTCTTTCTGTTTGACAAACCACTACAACGAGGGGCCGGGCCCTCAGCATTCCAAAGCAAGACAAAGATAATGACACTGTCTGTGGACTGTGTGAGAAACACAAGTCCGGCTCCGGCTCTCCGAAGAGCTCTCGCCAAGCTCGGCCGGAACCGAAGCCTTTCTTCAGGCTCGCAGGTGTGAATGGCTCAGCTCCCGACGTCAGAAAAGCCGTGATATCCTGACCTTGATGGATGCTGGCCTTGCCTAGGAGAATGCGGGCAACCTGACTACCCCCTACTCTTCAAGGCTCAAGGACTCAAAACAGTGAGGGGAAAACGGGAAGACGAAAGGACAAAGCTTAACGTTTTTCTTCTTTTCGTCCCATCTCTCCAAGGTTTACTCGGCTGCACTCCTTTAGTTCCAATAATACACCAACCAAAATATAAACAAAAAAAACATCCTTTAACAAAAGAGAAAAAAAAAATAATGAGCGAGAGAGACTAAAAAATTAATTCTATCAAATGGGCCAAGCTGTTGCTTCACAATTTTTTCAAGAATGATAACAGACCTACGACTTCAAGCGTGCCACCAACGTCACCAACAGAGTCGGCACCTTCACGTCAGACAGCATCGTCCTCACTAGGCGAGAGCCATGTTGTGGCTAACGACATCGGTCTCTATGTCACCAGCCTCGGCTTCGAGCAAATCTCCAGCCTGTGCGGACTGCGGAGCATTCATTTCACAAACTGCCTGGAGAAGTTCCGGTTTGAACGCAGATGTAGACGGACCACGCTGCTAAACATGTCTCCGCAGTACAGGCAACTTGCCATTGCCCGGAGGCATTGCCCTGCCCTCCCTGAAAAGACAACAGATTTGGCCGGAGCCCTGGGTTTCGCTGGCGATGATGGAAGGACGGAAGAGAAAAGGATTACAATAACAAAGAGGCGATTAGAAGATTGGTGGAAATTATCTAGGGAATATTGAATGATACACAACTAGCACAGCTGGGGACAGGCGGAACAGGGGAAAATTGGCACTCCCTCCCACGTGGCTCCGGCCCAAAGTCTCAACCCAGTTCTTCAGTGGGTCCGGTGCTGGGTTAACGCTGACAAGGTTTGACCAGAGAAAAACTGGCAACTCCCTTGCAGGGGGGAAAAGGCGGGGAGTGATGTTTTTTAGTTTTTTTTTAGCCCGATCCCCCAGAGGTCATCCTGGTGATATTCCACACTGCCTGGTGATAGGGGAAGAAAATTGGCTTAGAAGGGCGGGAGGAATCATGTTTGTCTTTTTAGACTTAGGCTAGGTGGCGCAAGCTACCCCCCGTTAAAAGGATATAGCCATTAACAGCGATGTGATTGGCCAAAGCCATTTTGGAGCACCTTTCGGAGCAGCCAAAACAGTGTTTTGGAGCAGCAAATATGGCCTTTGGAGCAACAAAAACTATGTTTTGTAGCAGAAAGTGTAGACTTTGTAGCAACTAAAACAGTGTTTCTGAGCAGCAAAAGTGGCTTTTGTAGCAGCCAAGACAGTGTTTTGGAGCAGATAATCTAAGAAATATAAAAATATTTGTTTTAAGTGCTGTACAAACGAAGGGCACTTTGTGTAGTGTTATGTTCTGATGTGACGTGTTGTGACAAAACTCACTGCTCGTATTTTTACTGCTGAGACATCCCACAAGTATACAGTGCTGTATGCATTGCCGAGCGATTCCGAAACATCACTTGCCACCGTTTTACTGGTTCCCGACGTGCCAGATTTTTGTCAAAAGTAAGCAAACGTAAAACGATGGATTGCAAGCGTTCCGGCTGGTGCCTCTGTCGTTCAATCATGTTCATATGCATATGAGGGCAACTTCGGCAGGCTTGCAGTTGCGCGTGCTTCATCGAGCGAGCGGAGACAACAACTGTTCGATCAAAACCGAAACCATGCCACTTGGCTCCGTCGCCAACTGATTTTCAAAATTGTATGCAAAATGTAACTGTCGAGAATACAACAAAAAAACAGTCCAGTGGCACGTGCTTGCCAGGCCGCCAAACAAGGTACATGCTAAACACACACCAAAAAAAAAGTACCTGAGTGCATCCATGTAAGACATCGTGAGCCAGGGTCAAAAAGTTCTTGGAGCGCTTTCTGCAACAACTGAGCTTGAGACAAACAAGCGCGCTGTGCGGGTTCAACGTGCAGACATTGCCTTCTTTGCTTTAGCCTCACTTCTCCTCACCAACTCTCTTTCGCGGCAAATTTTTTCCCGTACCGGGGTCCCTCTCGAAAAAAAAAGCTCACAGAGAGAAACCTAGGTAATCTATACCTCGACACTGGAGTCTTTGAGTTAAAGAGGGATTTTTGCAGTAAAGTATGATTTAGACAAGAACAGGAATGTTGACGAACATGCAGTTGTACTTAGTCTCAGTTTAGAAATCGCTATACCTGCGGCGACGTGGGGACAGCAACACCCGACATCGCGCAACCACGGTGACTGGAAGGCAGGGAGCAAACCTAGTTTTCCCACAGCCGTTACTAGTTTACTTGCTGCGCAGAAAACGTGGTTTCGTTTCACAGCATGAGGGCATGGCTGGCACCCGGCACACTAACGTCGGAGCGTCCGCACACACCCGCGTATATCATTGAAAATATTTTAAAAAAAGACGCGGGACAAGACCCACGAGGCGACGAGAGAGCAAAACGCGAGATGGCAGGAAATCCATGCAAGACCCAATGGACAACTGATGCAGGGTACTTTGTGTCGGGTGGCCACTTGTGCCACATAACACATGCAGGCCCAATTATGGTACTCAGTTAAGCTTCGGTTTCGAAACGCAACCTAAATTGGTTTTTTGGCGCAGGCTTGGTGCGGATTACCCATATTTTGGCAAAAGGTAGCAGGATGTAGCAGGGTTAGCCCCTTGGCGCAGTTTGGCACAATTGGCACAGCAATCACATCACTGCAGTAACATTCATCCATCCTCGTATCCCAATGTAAACCGCCTACTCTGGTCACCTTCAGCAACGCTGAATTGGAACTTTGAAAACTTGAGCCACACTCGAGAGCTTCAACATCTCAGGAGTGCTGGCTGGGGGTTGCGCTTCTTAACATTCACCGGAACATTCAAGTCAGCCCCGAAAGGGTCCTCTCGCTTCTTTCTGTCGACCGACGGTGGCTGTGACTATATGTTTAGAACCCAGAGAATGATAGGAACTAGTACTTTTCTCAGCCGCTTTCCCGTAAAATAACAACGAAGAACAGAAAGAACCCAAAAAATGACCATAAAGCAATCATTTCTAAAAAAATGTGATCCGTGCAGGAACAATGAGCGCGACGGTTCACTTGCTTATTGCTCCAGTGCGCACTGCAGTTTTATGCTTAGTCGCATCCTAATCTTTGCTATTCTGACACTCTTCCATAGCTTTCAATATTGGATACCTGAATGTTCCGCAGAGAAGTCTATGCACCGCAATATTTTGTGAGCCATCTGAATTTTTTTGTTCAAAGCACATTATTCTAAGTGATGATTGCATGTTTTTGTTGTTCAACATTAAAGTTTTTCTTTTTAAAGATTAGACGAACAGAGTCTCAGGCGTGTGTGTTTTCGATAAACATATGTGGCAAAAAAGGTTGAATTTTCGTCTTCTAAGAAACAGGAAAATAGCTAATTCTTTTCCTCTCGTCTTTTTTTTTTTTTTTCTTCTTTGTCTTTTGAACGGCGTGAGCAAAGAAAAACACCTCCTGAAACAATCTCCTGGCTACGCCACTGACCATGGTAACTGTCTAGGCTTAACAGTGCTAGAGCAGGTGACATAGGATGGCTCACCAGAGGCCGCATTTGCGGAGGGGCTATTAGCGATCCAGCAAATCGTCATAGAGATCAGTGGTTCCACACGATTCAGACTGTCATAAACCGTGCAGCTGAGAGATAAAGCAGATTGATGAAATTATAAAAGATGTGAGCTTACACGTCACAACACTGTTAGCCGCCCAGAATGAAAGGGAATTGCTCAAAGTAAAAAGAAGAGACAAAGTGTGTGCAGAGGAATGGCCAAGGCATCAAACACAAGAACATTACCTTGCTTGGTAGAGCACTTTCTGCGCTTGGAGCGAGGGCTGCAGAACTCTTCCTCCGAGCTATCCGATGCTTCCGTGCTCTCAAGGTCCCCAGCTGTGTCTGGAGGCGGCGTTGATTCCAACTCTTGCCCTGTTTCAAGAGCCACCAAACAATGCCTCCCTGCAGAGCTGTGCCTACAAGCTCGACACTTCCCGTCGCAACATACTCGACTGTTCAACGAGCAGGCCATTCTAGAGCCAAATCACAAAGTTCTCCAATATTTAAATCTATTAATATTCTGGCATTGCACACGAACGCGAACTGTAAGCACAAGCTGTTGGCGGAGCTAGTGCTGTATGTGGAAAAAAAATGCTTCGACCCCCGGCACTCGTCGGTCTAACAATGCCCGACACTATCTTAGCAGCTACACGAAGTGCTGAAGAAGGCACAGATCTCATTGACTCCTGGTAGTAGGAATGAATGAGATATGCACTGCCTCAAACTGAATTACGTTTTCCTGATCCCAGCCTTTTCAGTTCGAAAAGGGCATAAATGATGCAGCCTGTGCACCAAAAACTTCCAGGTCAAAACGTTTTGAATTCAGAATTAGGGCACACTGATAGAAGCAAACAGACTTTCCTAAGCTTGAAAGCTGATCCCTTTCACATTACTGCAGAGTGAACTAAGGTCTCCATTGAAAACCGACAACGCTTCACACTCTCCTCACCCCCATTTTGTACACCATTCACCGCCCAGGTGGCAATTGGTTCATTGTGCAGCATAGGATGGGAGGATGCTAAAAGGATAACCTTACCTGCAAAAAAATTACCTTGCATGTCAGTCTTTAGAAACAGTGATGAAGAAATTAATTGCAAGCTACGATTGAATACGGTCTAAAAATATATAAAAAGAATACCGATAGCCCAACCAATAATTGTTCACATAACAGTCACTTTAGCGATTGCCATTTAAGAGACTGCAACTTGATTAACCGCCACGTTTCAGAAACTCAGTTAGGAGCACACGACAATGGGCTTTTTGTCAAAACACCGCTTACTTGTGGTAGTGCTTACCTCTAGGAGCAGATTATTTTTAAGCAAAGTGAGCACCGCACTGATCAACTGATAACAGCAGTAGTACCGGGTGCTTCAGTAAAAAGAGAACAGGCTTTTGTCACTGCAAAAACGAACTATCCTTTGCCGAACGCTTTGTCCCTGCCTAAACGTAGCACCAGCACTTGGAACCAGATGCCAAAATGTCAGAACTTACCGTTATTTGATTAAAAAGTTATAAGCGATTTTTCGAAAGTTATAACGAGAAAATGGGGCCCGTTTTCAATAGTAGATGGCACTCGTTGGCCGCTGTTCTTGGCAGCGGTAGCTGCTAGTACCCCTCCCAGCAAAAAATGCTCATGTACAAAGGCAAAACCCCACTCTACAGCAGAGGCACTGCTCTCTCACCCCCCCTTGCCCCCCTAGCCAAAAAAGTGTTTTGGAGCAGCAATAGTGGCCTTTGGAGCAACCAACACAGTGTTTTGGAGCAGCAAAAGTGGCTTTTGGAGCAGGTATTCTTAGAAAAATAAAAATATCCGTTTGAAGTACTGTACAAGCGAAGGGCACTTTGTGTTGCGTTGTGTTCTGATGTGACAAGTTCTGACGGAACTCGCTGCTTGTGTTTTTACTGCTGAGACATCCCACAAGTGTACAGTGCTGTAGGCATTGTTGAGCAATTCCGAAAAACCGGTTGCCACCGTTTTATTGTTTCTCCACGTGCCAGATTTTCGTCAAAAGTAAGCAAACGTAAAACAATGAATTGCAAGCATCCCAGCTGGTGCCTCTGTCATGCTATCATATTCACATGCACGTGGGGGCAACTTCGGCAGGCTTGCAGCTGCACATGCCTCGTCGCGTGAGCGGAGACAACGGCTGTTCAATCAAAACCAAAGCCATGCCTCCGCTCCATCGCCAACTGGTTCTCAAAATTGTATGCGAAATGTATTTGTGGAGCATATGACAGTCCGGCGGCGCGTGCTTGCCAGGCCGGCAAACAAGGTACAAGCTAAAGACACATACAAAAAAAGAACCTGAGCACATCGATGTAGGACATCGCGAGCCAGGGTCAAGAAGTTCTTGGGGCGCTTTGTGCAACGACTGAACTCGAGACAAACAAGTGCGCTGTGTGGGTTCAGCGTACAGACATTGCCTTCTTTGCTTTAGCTCACTTCTCTTCACCAACTTTCTTTCGCGGCAGAGTTTTCATGTACCGGGGTCCCTCTCGAAAGAAAGCCCACCAAACGAAACTTAGGTAATCAATGCTTCGACACTGCAGTCTTTGAGGTAAAGAGGGATTTTTGTAGCAACGTACGATTTAAACAAGAACAGGAATGTTGATGAACATGTGGTGGCACTTAGTTTCATTTTAGAAAGTACCATATCTGCAGCAGGGCAACACCCGACGTCGCGCGACCACGGTGACTGGAAGGCAGGAACCAAATATAGTTTTCCCTTGGCCATTGCTTTCAGGAGCAAGTGCTTTAGCTTACAAAGTAACTCCCGCCACGCAAAAACATGGTTTCGTTTCACAGCATGAAGGCACGGCTGGTACCCGGCACGCTAGTGTTGGAGCGTCCACACACACCTGCGTCTATCGTTGAAAATATATTTAAAAAAAAAAGACGCGAGACAAGACCCACAGACGACATAAGCGTAAAAGGCAAGACGGTGAGAAAACCATGCAAGCATGCAAGACCGTATGGAGAATTGATGCAGGGGTACTTTGTGTCGGGCAGGCACTCGCGCCACATATAACACACGTTTCCATTTTGAAAGGCGACCGAAAATTGTTTTTGGCGCAGGCTTGGCGCAGATTACCCATATTTTGGCAACATGTAGCAGGATGTAGCAAAGTTAGCCACTTGGGACAGTTTGGCGCAGCAATCACATTACTGTGCCTTTTCACAATGCAGCAGCTATTGCTATCAATCACAGCACACCTTACGCAATCCTTCGCAAATTTTCAGTAAAAATTTTCAGACATCATTTCCTTTAAATATATAATGGCATGTCCAGAAGCTTTTGCATCTGGTACCAATTGCTAGCTCTACATTTAAGCAGAGACTGAACGTTCAGCTGTCAGTACCCAGTTTCTGCGGTGAAAAAAGTGCTGCGCATGTCTTTCCAAACGCCTCATACAATAGACTTCTCAGTTTGTGTCCACAATGTACTACGGTCGAAACCTAAAGCAACTTTAAAAACACCATTCAATCAAACAACAGTTGCACAAAACGACCCTCAATTCCTGAAACGTCCTCTGAAGAGGACATTTCAGGAAGTCTATTCATCTGTGCAAGCAATTTAGTCTACAAAAAGTGTGGCTTACCACTAGGCAATACTTGGTCCATGCCTGGCACGACGGAGGCCCCTGCATCACAGCTGCTCTCCACCTCCACCTCTCCGGCCACCTCCAAATTCTCGGTAGCAACAACGCAGTCAGTCTCCAAGTGAAGCACCCCTGAGCAAAGCAGACAGAAACACACAAGGTTCAACGTCAAGTATGGACACTGGTCCATTATTTTTCTGGCCAGTACAAAAAACGTGCCCCGAAAAAAAATTTTTTTTTTTTTTTTTTTACAGCAAAATTAAATTATGCATTGCAAAACGCACAGTTTCTGCTCAAATGTAGCCATACCGATCCGGACCAGACGCCAAAGTTTCCGAGCTTGCCGTTATCCGATTAAAAAGGAGTGCGATTTTTTTAAAATTTCAACGGTAAAATGGGGCTTGTTCTCGGTAGCTGACGCCATTCACCTTTACGAGTTTTATCGGCCACCATTCCCCCCTTAAAAAGATTTCTGAAAATTACTGATATCTTTTGAAATGGATAGCGACAAGGTCTCAAACTTGGGAATCTGATTTGGATTGCTAGACCTGAATTTAGGTAAAAACTGAGCACTTAGCGATGCATAGTTTATTTTTCTAGTGAAAAAAGACTTAATGTTTTCGGGGACACCCTGCATAAGCAGATGTTCGCTTCGATAACAGAAGTATCAAGCTTTGATCAAAATTAACTTGTTGCACAGTGCTGCCAACCCCCATGCCCCGATTGAGCTGTAAAACTAAAACCTAAAACCAACAAAATGGTCACAGTCTCGGTTATCTGTATACAAGTTTTATTTTGTCATGATGCAAATATCATAAACAACAAAGAGGCTGCCAGCAGTTTACACAAGTCGCCTTTTTATGCTACATGCTATACACATACCAAAGCACAGCAAAACATATGCTTTCAAATTAAATTATTTTGAAAATTTTAAACCCCCGCAAATCCCAGAAGCATGTCATTCTGCCCCTTTACCAAAAATGCAGACACCTAAAGTTCCCAGAAATTGCAACAGGTTCCTAGAGGTGGCCCTGCTGTCACTCTGTGGAGACACTTGGGATAAAGTTGTATCATACCGGCCAGCAGGGAAGGGCAAAATACATGCAAATATGTATAGAAATACAAATACTAAATACTTTGTCTAAAATGTATTTAATTACAAAACTAATTACATTTCCAAAAAAGCATTTAAGTACAAGATACAAATACAACCAAATGTATTTGGTCTCCTCCAAATAGTTTTCCAAATACATTCCTCAAAATTTGCGTCAGCGACTTCAGGGCACCTGCAACGAGTTTCTGGGTATCTCATTTTAATTTTGCATCGCACACTCGGGAGTTAGTGTGCGAGGCTCTAGTAACGCAATAGAAATATAATCACAAAAAAAAAATGTAATCAGCTTGGACGTAATAGGTGAAAAAAGTACAGAGCTTCAAGCAGCTTTTTTTGTCGATTACATGGTGGTATAGACCAACAAAGAACCGAGACGACCAAGACGCGCAGCACTAGGTAGAGAATTTTTTATTGTTCCAACTCGCACCAGTTACGAAAATCAGAATGACCCGCGCATTTAGAATGTTCCAGGCAAAAATATGGATGGAAATCAGGCTGGAAAGCACCACAGGTTGTCAGAGGCACTTAGTTAGCCAGTCTGCCTGTGAACATTGATTTCGTCACTATTCTTGCCCTGGACTAGCGCCGTAATCACAAAGTCACTAAATGCTTGTGCTTGATTGAGAGACACTGCATTCGGTGCAGAGCATAGTTTTCTTACTGCTCTGGACAGTGACAATAAATTTGAGGGATGTATTTTCGCCCACAAAATTGTATTTAATTACAATTGTATTTGAAATACCCACATTTTAGTATTTAAATACACACGTCAAATACATTACCCAATTTGTAATTAAATACAAATGCAAAATACACAAAGTATTTGAAATACTTATTTCAAATACTTGCATTTGAAATACTTATTTCAAATACTTGCATTTGAAATACTGCCCATCCCTGGACGGAGCAGTCGGGTAATGCTTGGCACAGAGCAAGCCTGCTCGTTTGGACGCCATCTATCCGTGTGCATGAGAAGTATGAAGTATGCCCAACTGGTGCCTGCCCTACCACCGACACTGCACCTCTAGTGTTCCCAGCCCATTCGATTTTTGCTAGCAGTATTTCATTTCCCGAGTGATCCTTTGGATCAATGATGAGTGCATCCCAACCCACTTAATTTTTGCTCCATCCGTTCTTTCCATAATCATGATAGCACGCTGGCAATGCTGTCTCATCTGCATGCTGACGCAGCTGCGCACAGCAACGCTACCGAGACATGCAACGCACCAAGTCAACACCTCCAGGTACCCTAAGGCCGGAATTTTTACGTCACAAACGATTGGTTGGTGTGGGACACAGACTGAATGGGAATGCCGCGTCAGGGTTGGGGTGGGACTCGAGTTCTGTCGGTGAGAACGTGAATTTCAGCTGGACACCAACAAAGGTTGGGAAGCAGTCATGTCCAATCTGTGACCCACGCCAACCGGCTGTAGGCGACGTAGAAGACGCAGTGCTACAACCTCACCATCGAGAAGTTGCCAACCGAGTCTTTGTTTTCAGAACCTTCGTGCTCGTTCGTCGCTCTCCCGACACAGTCCTGGTTTGGGGCTAGCTCTGAACCTCCCTCTTTCCACACTGTTCCCGCAGTAAGCGAAGAGTGGCACTACCCGAATGTGCTTCTCACAGACACCAAGGATACAGCGAATTCGTCCAGTCGGCCCGGCATTTTGCTCTGGTAGTCCCGACATACTCAAAAGTTACTGACAACTACGGTGTAACTATAGGGCGGTCGACGCTCCAGAGCGCAACGTTTCTCGGCAAGTTGAAAACCGCCACACACGTATATTCCGCTCAGAGAATGCGACGCTTTGAGGAATTAAAACTATGTTTCTTCCTCCGGGGATTCAAGGGCAGCTTACCTGCTGATGTCCGAGATGTGGCTTCCATTTGCGACAGCGTTAGGGCAGCCTTGAGATCACGGTCAAACAGCTTCTCATCCAGAGAAAGCCTCCTGAAAAAGCACGAAGCGATTGCAGCCGACAACGAGACGGCTTAAACGCATGCCACACTAGTCCATATAAATCAAAGAGAGTGGACCCAATCATGCCTCAAATCTGGCAACCTTTAGAATCCATGAAATTTCGGCTGCCAGTACCGTCGAAGCCAGCATCGTTAGTCTAAAGACATAGTTTCCACCCTTGTCAACACTGCATTTTTGAGTGCCTATGCACCAACTCGACTCTCCCATCTCACGCCGCGACGGCAGCGCTTCAGGCATATTTCTAGTGTGAGGTATGGGCAGAAAACACCATGTGGGCCACGCATTGCTATGCTTTTTGGTGGAAGCCGGCCTTCTCGTCCAACCGCCCCGACTGAGGCTGCATTGAAAGATTTGAGAAAGGTGTCCAGATCAGTTTTAACTACCGTAATGCCCTACCCCCGAAAGATAGCCCACCATTAATTTCAAAATGATTTGCTTTTTCCTCTTTTTGTTTTGGATACACCGAAAGATAGCTCACGTTTAGTAATTGTAGGGCCCTGGTCAACGGTGACCTTGGCAAAAACTATGTTACTTAGTCAAGGTGAGAAAAAAGCAAACACTGTCGGCTAGGAAGGGCAGTCGTCTTTGGTTCATAGCCCGATCCTGTGATCACAAGTTTCAAGGGTCACAAGATCTAAAACTAGCATTTTTTTAAACTTTTTTTTTTATGGCACACTGAAAGTTACTAGCTTACCAATTATTTTCATCCGATTTGCTATCGGACTTAGGTAGGCTACCTCTTCGGGTATTACGGTAGGGGTGTGCAAATATTCGGAATTTCAAATACAATATTTTCTTTGTTCGATACTATTGATTCAAGAACTGCATATTTGGCCCTGGCCTAATATTAAAAAAGATTGAATATTCGGACAGAAATCAGAATATTTGGGTAAATAAGTAGTCATCTATGTGCCATACATGCCCTAAACATTCTAAACTATCTCAGAATGTTTATTTACTGAAATCTACTTAAGATGCATTAATCATCTGTTCTGTATCGGCTCTGTTTCCGGTTTGCATAAAACTCTTATATGCCCCACAAGGCAGCAGTAGTTTCAGTTCCTTATTTTTATCAAGCAGGTTCTGTACTACTTATTTAGCGGTATACATTATGTATTTTTTGCACAATAAAAACAGGCCAAACAATAAGCTTACCTCAAGAATGTTTTCTCAAATTATTTATAAACACATGGAAATTAAAGAGAAACATCTATAACAAAACTAAATCACTATAGGCAACAACTCAACTACCAGACAAGATAAATATACCGCTGCATTGAGCACTTTGTTTGGCAATTTGTAAGCCACGCTAACTCCTCTTGTCCTTGTTCGAACATGTTCTCGGAGTATGGCCTGAAACCGCAGCTGCTGTGCCACTTGGCAAGCATAGAGTGAAAGCTGGAAAAAGCTTTCTCTGGCAGGGCCACACGAAACCCTGGCCATTGACAGCTCAGCAAGTCGTGCGAAAGTGTTCTTGAAACGCCAACGGGGACAACCACTACTCTCCAAAACCGCCTGAAACAACACCCTTTGTTGATGGAAGAACACAAAAAGGATGCCGCAAGCAGGCCGTCTGGGAGTCAACCGACACAACAATATGGTTCAACAGAAGAAGCAGCCCTTGCTGCAAAACACAAGGGTTGTCACCACTTCTTACTACTGCACACATATGCAACATTTGAAGTAGTTCTATCCTGCCCACTCAACGATCACACAAAGATAAATAAAGCTTTTCCTCTTCCTCCTTTCCATGTTCATATTCAACAATTTCAATATTTGCGCATCCCAAGTTTTAACATGTTTCCTACCTGCCTCGATCTGCCCAGAATCTGGATAGGTGCCGTGAAAAAGAGAGACTAGACACCGTCAGACCACAAACACCTGTGCGGGTGATTGAGGTCTCGACTTCTTGTCGTGATATTTATTTGTATCGTCCAACAATGATCGCGGGAGAACCGTCAAGTGGCCTGGGCAACCCGGATTACGTTCTGTGCCTTTCCATGTTAACAGTCCACAGACCATGTGGAGAATATACGTGCTATTGACACAATAGTTGTGATATGAAGTAACTGTAGGCCTCTGAAGACGTGTAAAGTTGTAGGGCGTCTGGGGTAAATCGATTCAGTGCGAACAGTAGATACAAGGTGACATTGAACACTGTAACAGGAGACGATCGCCGATTTGTTACACCCAAATCACATGGTCCGATTCCGCTCGAAATTTTCAGTTTTGACGACAAATAGCGCAGGTTCCGCCTACGCTACTTTTGCAGAGTGAGCGCTTCGCAAGTGAAAATATTGAGCGGAATCTTACCATGCGAATCAGGCTTTAACGTCCATTCTGTGGCGTCCGTGCTGGATGAATCGCCGTATGTCACGTTTTTTACACAAATTTTTGCAGCGTGAAGAGCCTTGCCCATTTCACTCGGGCCACTAAAGTAACCAGACATTGCTAGGAAGACGTAGAATGAACAATTGCAACGCAAAAAAAAGAGCCACGGAGACTCACACCAACGCAGATAACATTGTATCTGAACGGTTTGCTCACGGGGAATGCCACACTTCTTGCCTGCACCCCATCGCGGACATGCAACAGATCTAGCATGCCGCTAAAGGTGCTCCGGTTTGTTTGTAAACATGAGTTGGTGTTTAGACCAACATACGGCACTGAGATCACCCTGCGGCGGTGGTACTGTGCAGACAACTATCTTCCACATCTCGCAAAGTTGCTGTCTGTGCACATGCACAGACAGCAGTGCGTCAGTCTATATGTCAATTTCAAGCTCGAGACTTTCTAAGAGAATTTCTAAGACCAGTAAAAACTGAGAATGTGTGCCCGTCCATGTGCTTCCAATACTTGTATAATCTTCAGAGTAGAAGTGATCACAGTGTTTAAAACTAATTTAAACCAAAATTATTAAAAGCCAAGCGTGTTTGTAAGGTTCAATTTACACACGAAAAAATAAATGGGATGGAGCACAAAACGAGGCATCTTGCAACTAGCAACAAACAAGAATAATACAAAACCCCCCCCCCCCCCCCTTTCCCAGAGGGGTTAAGAAATGTTGGAAGAGGCATAAAATGCTGTTGAAGAAAAGGGAAATGTCAGACGGGAAAAGAGATGAAAATAAAAATAAAATAAACAAATTTTGTGTTTGGAAATTGAGATTAAAAGCTTTAAAATGCAGTATCACGTTGGTGTGCGAAGCATTCTGAAAAGTTCCCATTTAAACGTGAGTTGTGGCGAAATATCGATGGTCATGGATGTTTTGTAAACCTTTCACTGCAAACTAAATATCCACACTTGAGTATGTCTACGAAATATCTAATTAAAATATTCATTGTTTTTTGGTGTTGTTTTTTTTCGAGAAAATGAATTTTGAAGCTTACGGATACACTTCCGAATCGCCGGCTGCCGACCGGCAACAACGAGCAGAAACGCTTGTGACGTCAAACATTGTATCCGAGAGCAGACGATGCTCTCTCCTCCACATCGTTGTCTGATGAGCGTCCGCAGTCTTGCGGACTGCGCCTGGTTTAGGCTATTTGCGGCATGTGATGGAGGGCGGGGGGAATTTGTGATGTACTAAGGGGTGCAATAACATTACAAAGAAATGCACTAAAGTGGTTCGAGCGGTCGGACACAAATGCTGGCTGATGTGTGTGTGCATCGAGCTAGAATACAGTTCACATCATGCTAGCAAACAAAACCTTCCATGCCATTTTGCTCCAATACAGGATCTGGATCCACGCATTGGCCAATTGCGAATGCAGCCGCCACGGATGGTCCCTTCGGAGGTGATGCCAGCGGATCGAAGGCGAATGGAGAATCGCCTGAAATCTTTTGCTGTGCTGGCCACTGCTTGACTCGGACAAGCTCGATGAATTGTAGCCCATTATTTCGCACAGACAATCGTGACGACCTTTCGACTGCTTCTGACGCTGGGGGAAACAGGCTCGAGCTGCCCATGTTTCTGCAACATCTGACGTCGCAACAAAATGGCGGTCAAGTAAAGCTTCAGTTTTGTTTCGGTACTATTTTATTTCTACAATTAAAAATTTTTAAAGAAGTTTTTGGAAAGTTTACTTGCTCTTCTGGGCTCAACCTCTTGTGCTCCTTCAGAAAATATGTTTAGTTGAAAACAATTAAATTGACGCCGGAGCTCCTTTCCTTTAAAGGGGCCCTGCAACGACTTTTTGACTGGTTTTTAAATTGCACCGAACCTGAGCGCACTGAACGTAATAACTTAGTGAAACTTTTCTTTTCTCAAATTTCATTTTATTGTAAAAGTTACAGGCAAATTAAAATTACAAAAAGAGGCAAAAAATAACCTCCTTCATGATGTCCCTGGTCCTGGCTTGGACAGCCGTGAACTAGAGGTGGGGTAGTAAGCTCAGCGAGCGCTCATGGCTGTCGCACTCCGTTTCAACGGCTCGAGAGGGCGCCACTAAAGCACGTGTTGGATAGGCTGTATGAAGCGGGCGGCCAGGGCGGCTCACATTGCATTTGCTGCGCAATTAAACACTAATTCAACATGACACTTCATCGGCCACAAAAGACAGCAAACACGAGGTAAATGTCAGTTCAGAACAGGAGCCACTTCACGCTGCCAAACGGCCAAACTGCAAGCCAAACCTGCTCACCGAAAGCCTTCAGAATGCTCGGAGCCGGTCGGATCCTCGAGCCCATACGAACGCAGCGCCGCCATGTATATCCGGGAGCCTTTCTACGCTCACCGCTTCACGGCAATGTGTGGAGCGCGTCAGTGCCTGATCCCACTACCCCTATGCGCCGACTTTTCCACCACTTGGTGGCGGGTATCACGACGGGTCATTTCTTGTTCCAGTACTTAATAAAGGGCATTTGTTTCTTTTCTGATTTAAAATACTGAACAAAAACTATTTTCATAAATAATTGAAACAGTTTGCGCCACTTATATTTTGTATTTGGTCTAAACAAAAGCTTTTGGTGGCTCTGACCAGTCGTAAGGCAGGAGCTGGCCAGGACCGACGTCGCAATGTCGTCACATGCCACGCGCGTTCGGTACCACGGGGCGGAGATGGAGGAGGCTTCCGCATCGTCCGGTTAAATTGTGATGCACTGATGTTTAGTTACTCTCTCAGTGCCCGCTCGCTGGCTTGCCCGAACCACAAGAGATGTGGAAACCACAAAAAAGGCAGACGCTTAAATACGATTACAGGGCCCCACAGCTCAGGGGAATCAAATAAACCTTCTCGCCTTCACACTTAACAGACTTTTTTGGCAGGTGTGACACTGCACCCTTTTGGAACGTCACTCATATTGACCCTTTGGGAGATCTGTTTGAGGCGTATGCGGCATGAAAAGACAACATCAGTGCCAAACTTAGCAGTGATAGATCTTAAATGGTGTGAAAGGTTGTGCGCATAGGGGATCACCGCAAAAATGTTGTCTTCCGTGCTCCGTACAAATTGTTTGTTCTTTCGTGCATAAATTAATTTAATTCCAAAACTTGGAAGGGGCGGGGGGGGGGAGGGGGGGGGGGGGGAGAGAATGAGAAAACAAGTTTCCAGCCAGTTTTGAGGCTCCCCAAGCCCAAGCTCACCTGCTTATTGCCAGATAAGCCTGTCTCGTTCAATGCTAACCTGTTAGTATGGCTTTTGAGATGTGACAAAGAGCACTAGGCACAAACAATTTAAGAGCATGTCTAATTACACGAGAGTGTCGGGAGGGTGATGGGCACATTCAGACTAAATGAGAAACAGTTGAGTGACTACTTGCAACAACGAGGTATCTACAAACTTAGCTGGCAGTTGCTGCAATGTGTTCTCCCGAGTCCCAATCTCGTAACATTGCATCATGCTTTTACACGATTGCTTCGGACACGATTCCATATCCCCCCGTGTAACTGGTAATTATGCCGTCCATAAGGTTCATCACATAGAACACAAACCAATTTTTTTATGGTGTCCTTTTACACATACTGCGTCTGCATGTGGCGACTCATTTACCCCGAACGTCAAGGGACGTTACCTTGGTTTCGAGTCAATTTCACCTCCGGCCGCAAGTGTGCTGTCGACATCCTTGGCGGACAGTTTTTCCGTCTCTTTCTTGCGGCAGTCCTTCGGGGGTATGCCTTCTTTGTCCTTCTGTTTGGTGCGCTTGCTGTTCGCAGCTTCGGCTGATCTGAAGTCGTCATCTGAAGGGAACAAAGCAGACCAAGACTCCTTGCTAACATTTGTCCAGAGAAGCAACAGGCGAAACACACACCTTCATCGCTGCCAATGTCCAGCTTCGCGTAGTTCACCGGCTTGTGGGACCTGGAAATAATGTTTACAAGGTAGCACAAACACCGAGGAGGGATCGATATGCGCTTAAAAACTGGCATAAATTAAGTAAAGCCTCGCACTGCAAAACCCAGGCATCCTGGGTTCAATCCCCACCCCTGCCCCTTTCGATCTGGTTTCGCCTCATACCAACGCGTCATACTGACGTGTGGTCGTGTAATCACCACTACGTGATGCACGTAGTACGGTTCAATACCCCCAGGCTAGCGGTTGTATTGCGCTGGCAACATTTCTCATCTACAGCTCGGACATCAGACGCCCGCTGGGGCTCACGAACTTCCCGCTGTCTAAACAAAAACACAATACAATTACTTGCACGAAAACAAAGTTTGCAAGGAGTTACAAGCACGAACAGATCGATTTGAGCGTAGGAGCTGGCAAAAGGCGCGCTTCGTCTGAACGGAAGGACAGTATTTGCTCTTCCCTTCCGAAGACCGGCATCGGTACACGAACATCCAACAAACCTTGCTGATCGCCGCCCTTCAGCCATGAATCCCACATCAAAGTTTGGCACTTTACTGAAACCAAGAGAAAACACTATTTGCAACTGCGGGACGCAGTATTCGATGTTGGCGGGTTGAGCTCTTCTCCGATTGGGGATTTCGCCGCTCTGTGCGCATGCGCGGCACCATAAATACGAATAGAGAGAGAGCAAACGTTCGTTCATTTCGTATCTTCGTTACTAGATAGCGCAACTAACCTATCAATTGTAAAATCCCTTGATGTTATTTCAACGAAAAAATATCCAACGACGATTGAGGCACTCTGAAAGAACTGCAAGCGTCCGAAGGCAGCACAAGTGATTGGGGTTTATCTGTTTGTGCCGAAACTAATCAAGGTAAATTTAAATACGCTCTGAATAAAAATATGTCCCCGATCTGGTAGATTATACGTCTTTACTACGGTACTGTTAACTACTTAACTTTGAGAAGATCTAAATTTTGCACATTTCAACCTCCTTGACCAAGAGACACACGGTCCCGCTGATCTCAATGACAATTGCTGGATCGCGCTTCCCCGCTTGTTCGCTGCAGCGCGAGTGAAGCCACCGGACTTCACTCGCTTGGGATACGATTTGCGGTTTTGCTAACCTCTTGCTGCGGTTTTCCAGCGTGCTGCAGACACGTTTTCTACTCGTTCGTCGTCATTCGCCGAAGAAGTTTTTTAAGACTCTGTGTATTGTTGAGACTCGCCGTTGTGAACACGTGGAAAATTTTACGAAAGGGCAGTGTCGCAGGAAAAAGGCACAACTCGTCGAAAGCAAGGGTCTGGCAGCGTGTTCAAAGCTTCCTTGGCACGCCGAAGTGCCGTGTCTGTGTGCCTTCGCGCGCTCTGAACAGAACTTCAAAAAACATATATTAACAAAGTAAAAAAAATAGACGCACGTAGAAAAGAAAAATTGAAAATAAACCTACACAAGTCTGCAATCACAGTAGAGTTTTAAACTATCTTAGAACTCAATTGGCCCAGCATTTAAAATTGTAACTTTTTTTTCAAATGTCCCTACAATATATATTACCACTAGTTGTTAAGACATCATATATTTTTCATTCCGTTGTAACTTATATTTTTACGAACCTCCGAAATGATAATCAAATCACAGTATCAAAAAGATTCCGAGAAGCTTTTGTAGTGCTGCAACTGAATGCCCAGCAGAAATTCATTTCAGAGAACTTAGTTATACTGAATTGTTTATACATATAGAGGGAGCGTTATGAATCCAGATATGAATCGAGGTGCTCGCTGCAAAATGAACCGGAAAACTCGGCGCCTGCATGCAGCGAACTCAAACATTCAGCAAAGGCGTAATTTACGGAGAGGGTTTGCGTTGGCAAATGACAAGGCGTAGCTCGTTTCCTGTGTAAAATTAAAACAGCATTCTTGACATTAGGAAGTTTTAGTAGACCGTGTTTCCCCCTCCGCTAACCCTCTGCTACGAAGAAACCGCCTCTGCGCCTGCGCGCGGTTGGCCTTGGCTGTAGAGCTCCGGGTAGCGGAGGGGCTTAGCGGAGGGGGAAACACGGTCTACTAAAACTCGCTACTATCAACGCGAGTGCCGATGCAGAGGACCGAATTCAAGTTACAGCATCTTCTAAATAGCATGAGGTGTTGCCGATAGGGATTTCGCGAACCACCCTAGGTTTTATTTCGAAAGATTTCGATATTTTCAAAGTGAACTGAGGTTCGAATTCGAATGGTTTCGATATTTTCGTACCGACCGAGGTTCGCATTCGAAAAATTCGCAACTTTCGATCACAGTGGAGTCCAGCCCCTTTTCTCCCTTCCAGATATTTCGGACTGTTAAAGGGATACTTCCACGAAATTTGAAATATTCCCGTCGTGTTCAAAAATAGGTTGAATATGATCCACAATATCCGTAAATGACAATCGCACGTCTGTATTTTGAGCCTGGTAGCTGTATTTTTCGTTATAAACGGCCCATTCTGGCAAGCGCTCGGAGAAGGCCCAGCGGAGACCACGTGACATCCAACGCAATCGTGACGTAGATCGTCTCAGGACGAGCAAAGCTACGGCGAGGCTGACGTCGAGAGGATGGCCTAGTCGTTCCAGCCACCGAAGCGGCTGCTTTTGTACGAATTTTGAGTGACGGGATAATCTTCTGTAATCTTGTAGGGGGACAATAGCGACTTCTGCGACTCACAAAAGGCATTCTCGGGAAGAGGGGAGTTCCTCCTGCCCCTCTTCTCTTGTCGTGGCCGGAGGCGAGACAACCTCCGTCACTAGCTGTCAAGGTTCCTAGACGGGCATTACAAGCGAGGCGTTAGCGACATCCACCAGGTGCTCTTTGCTAATCGTTTAATTCGTTTTAAAATTCCTTTTCGTGACTTTTTTTAACAAGATATTGTTATATTCGATGTGATGCTGCTCCTTTGAACACATATAGACCAAAAGATGAGCGCCGAAATTTCGTTGTAGTATCCCTTTAAAGGAGTCATGAAACGCTTTTCCAACTTTTTCCTGTATAGCTTTCCTCCTCAACTCATAAATCGCGCATTTTACCAAACAGTTCAAGATGACGGAAAGGGGGAGTCCTCTTTTGCTCGGAGTCTCGTTTATGTACCCGGGCACAGCCATAGAAGATTAGCCCGTCGCTCGAAATTCAGACAAAAGTTGCTTTCGACACCCCGTTCACCCCGAAGCTGACAGTGCTGTGGAAGCTACTTGCTCTTTGGGCCAGCCGCACTTTTGCCACGTGATCACGCTTCTCTCGCGCATACCCACACGCAGAGAATGAGGTCAGGTGATGAAAGGGAGGCGGCTGATTGGTCTGGCAAGCGCGTAGCTTCCACCACAATGTAAGCTTAGGGGTTAAGGGATTAAGTGAGGTCCGGTGTCGTATGACGTGCGTTTGGGCCCGGTGACGCGCTGCGAGAGCCCGGTGACGCGCTGCGGGAGCCCGGTGACGCGCTGCGGGAGCCCGGTGACGCGCCGTGGGGTCCGCGGATGTATCACTGTGAAAAGGCAGAGAGCTTACGGAGGGAAGGAGGAACGAAATTGTCCGCTGTGTTTTCAAATTTTTGTACCGAAAGTCAGGCTTTTGAATTTCTATCTTTTTTTTGTCTTACTGAACGATGTGCTATTAGTAAAATCCCAGTATAATTTGATTTATTCCTGCCAGAAATTCGTTTCATGGTCCCTTTAAAGAAAACAATACGGGGAAAGAAGGTGTGGTCGAGCTTATTTTAATCTGAAATTATTTATGCATATGTATAGCTACTGTCGCTCCTCACTGCACAAAAAATCGAGTAGATGGTCATTCTCGAAAACTCGTTGTCAGAAGGCACTACTTGCGAAATGCTTATAGTGGTTCGGAAGTTCAAATCTATGTCTTTTCGACTTACATAACTGTGTTATCGATAAAAAATAAAATAAATAAAAATAAACATGACAATAAACGCGGAGATAAGAAGCTGGAGAAAAAAAACTATCAAGAATTCGCCGGAAGTGTTGTATTCTTGCATATTCAGAGGCTCAGAACTTCGAAACAAGTTTCTCCTACCAAAATGTGTACAGGCTAAAAGAAACACGTCCCAAGAACGTAAAGCGGGAAAACAAATGTTTTTTTTTGTTATTTTTTTTTTTAATGACGTGCTGAACTGGAACAGTATTAGATACCTTCTCCTATGAGTTAATTTATTCCCTTAACGTGAAAAAAAACACAAAAAACACGTTATTTTGCATTCTGCAGATGGCAATGATATGCACTGTCTGTAGTGTTAATTTAAATGCGATACCTCAAACAACTTAGACGAAAAAAAAAAAAACAAGTTTAGGGCATAATTACCCGTAGACACATGCTTGGACATTTCTTCGAAACTCATCTTGAATAACACTGATCGCATCTTAAAACAAGACTTACTTAGGCTATATATAGATCATTCTTAAAAAGTATAACATCTCTACCATAAATAGCTTCGGCTATAGCGCGCTTCAAATATAGCACAAACGACAATCGTCAAAAAACCGTCGCCCTTCCTCGCCCCTTCGGGAATTTATTTCTTTAAAACTAAGAAAACCAGAACATTGAAATAAACGGCATTGTTTTTCGTGAGCAACGCAGCACCGCATGTAAAAATTCGAGAAAAAAATATTACGAATGCACCTCACTACTTGAATTCAAATAAAACAGTCCGCCGGTCTTTGGAAGTTCGACGAATGTCGAACTTTTACCCTAAAGGTCGAAGTTCGTCGAACTTTTGACATTTAAGGTTCGAAAGTTCGAAACTTTTTGAATTTTCTTGATATATGGTCGAAAGTTCGAAAATTATCAAATTCCTTAGCGAAGAAAATTCGAAAATTCGAAGAGCTTCGACCTTTTTAGTGCAAAAAGTTCGAAAGTTCGAAAATCATCGAATTTTTTGGTCTATCAAGTTCGAAAGTTCAACAAGCATCGAATTTTTCAGCGTAGTAAGTTCGAAAGTTCGAAAAGGATCGAATTTATAGAGTAAAAAGTTCGACGGTTCGAAACCCGTCGAACTTCTTAGTTTACCAAGTTCGAAAATTCGACTTCGGTCGAATTTTGCGGTATAGAAAGGTCGAAAATTCGAAATCTTTCGAACCTTTCGAACCGCTTGAATCGATCATCGAAACTTCGGTTCGAAAAAGTTCGCGGCATCCCTAGTTGCCGAGTTTCCCGGTGGTAATGATGATGATGATGCCAATGATGATTGTGCAATCGAAAATGTTCCCTTTGAAATGGGAGGTTCCGAAGCGTCTGTACCAGTGGCATCGGACGTGCTCAGGAGACGGGGAAGGAAAATATCTCTCCCATTCTCCCAACTGCTTACTAAAAAAAAAAAAACATTAAACAGCAATTAGTTTTATTCAAGCACAGCTATTTTTTCTCATTAATTAAACGAATACATTGAGTGCAATGTAACTTTTCACAAAAGTGTTCTTCAGGTGGTTCATTTATGAGTGTAGGATTCAAGGACGAATATTAAACCTAAACAAAACTGTGTTTTTTCTTGTTTTTTTATGCACAGAGAAGGAAACGGCAAACAGCATCTGCTTGTCACACCATAAATCAAAAACGTGAAAGAGTTTTTGAGATAACCAGCCAAAGCATATTCAGCAGATCCGATCG